TTATGTTACTATAATTTTCATAAATATTAATGTTTTATGTTTAAGATTCTATATACATAGTTGTAGCCCCTTTCATATGTTCAGTGGTGTATATTTGAGATTTTTCCATTCTGTTACACTACCACTGTGAGAAATAGCTGATATAAGAAATAAGTTCTTACCTGATCACTGTTTTTTTCAAATTTTAATTCATTAATATTTTCTTTTTATTTCCCTTAAATGTATTAGTTATTTTCTTTCTCTTTTTCTAGATTTTCAGATTGGGAACTTAAAGATTCATACAACATAAAACAAAGAGGATGACTAAATTATGGTGACAAAATTTCTATTCTCCACAGAAAGGATCTTTCCATTATGTAAAATAATCAAGAATTGATTATATTGCATAAAATTCATTATCTACATTCTGAACTCTAATGCCTAATGAAATAGCCAATTTTCTATTGATTGTACTATCTGTTTAACTATTACTTGGAGCACAGATAAATCTATGAAAACAAGGAAAAGCCATCAACTATTTTTTAGCAAAAAATAAAATCAATTTACATTTCAAAGAGTGGTGAGTGGTACAGTTAAAAGGTTGAAAGTCAACTATGCATTTGTAAAATGTGACAGTGTAAATCACTCAGCAAGGGCTGAACTGCTTTGTCTTTGAAAATTTATTACACTTGAAAAGCAAAAGAGTATCAGAACCCAGATCTGTAAAACCTGATCTTAAAACAATTTCTTCTGTCAAGTATTAGACACGAGTAATATACAAATAAAAATGTGACTGCAAGCTATGCATGACATTTATCGCTATTAAAATAGAATTCAATATTATTTTATATTACATACTACACATGACTACTATCTGACATGGATTAAAATGATGTAATGTCATAGTTAACTGAATTATAGAATTTAAAATGCTTCCTTCTAAAATTCTAATCCTAGTACAGGTGTACAATCCCACTGACAGTCTTAACATATAAAATGAATTTAATAAATGCAGTAGCTCTTATAAATTAACTTACATTACTATAGTAGAGTTCTAAATATTTCATTTTTTTACATTGAGAAGTGATTTGACTGAATTACATTTTAGGATTTGAAATGTATATATTGAAGGGCTTCTTGCTCACTTTCCAATTTAGGCAAAAATACAACTGTTTTAAGAATATAGTCAATAACTCAAATTCAAATAATTTATAGATTCAAATAATTCAAGTAGTAACTCCTCTAACTTCTACTTTTCAAACCATAGGCAAATTACCACTGAACTTTATCTTTCTCATTTTGTAGACTTCATTTGAAGGCCAATTGTGACAATATGTATAAAGAATAAGAGGAATGTTGGACATATAGAAATAATTCAAGTAACTGCCACCAGAGAAAGAAAAAACTGAAATGATTCCAACAGTATATAAGCAGGGAATATAACTCTTGTGTGCGCCTCTCAGATATGGTTTGTTATCATTTCTCAAAAATACAACTTTCATGTTTTTATAATCTTGTAAGGTAATGTTCACTAAACTTAAGATGTAACTCCACATCCCTCATGCTACTGTGTACTTAATATTTTCCCAAGTCATCCAGTTTTTCTTCTTCGAAGTCACTAAACAACATTCAGCTGTACAATTTAAAAGTTCTGGTCATACTATATATTTTAATTTAAGATTTTTTTAACCTAGAATTATACTGTGCCTTGTTAGTGGAGGGGTATTTCAAATTAGTAATTATTATTTTAAAGTTAAATAATAACATAGAGCTCCAGACTATTTTCCTATTTGAAAATTCTAATAATATGAAACTTTCCTAATAATTTACAAAGCAAATAGGCTTATGGAAATTTAAATGTTTTAAAGTATTCTAGGTTGCTTACTGATTCAAAGTGAAGGACCTAAAAGAAACTTAAGATTCCCCAAACCTTCTAATATTTTTAACACAGGTGTTTATGCTAATTAATAAAAATAGGTATTTTAGTTTCATAAAATTGTTCATTGATAAAACTGTAATTGATGATAGGATATATGACTAATGTCTCCTATTGCCACAAAGGTACATTTACTAGAAAGAACAAACCAAATTCCTTTCTTTTTTGGAGTTGAAACAGAACACGGAGTAATCTAAGTATATTGGAGAAAATTAAGTAGATAACATAAATAGCATATAAAAAGTAAACTGATGCCAGGCATGGTGGCACAGGACTGTAATCCCAGCACTTGAGAGGCTGAGGCAGGAGGATCACTGTGAGTTTGATACCAGCCTGGGCTAAATAGTGAGTTCCAGGTCAGTCTCAACTACATAGTGAGACCCTGTCTCAAAATACCAAAAAAAAAAAAAAAATGTAAACTGTTAGTTGGTTTAACTTCTTGTAAGTGGTTCATAAGAATATTTGTTTTTGTTTTTCCTGCCTATGCAAATTAGTCCAAACAAAAATTTTGCTCTTAGGAACATATGATACCAAACTTATGAATGATATTATGGGTTACAAAAAGTTATCTTGGTCTATTTTAATAATACTTTACTTAAGACATCAAAGAAGGAAACACTTAATGTGAAATATAATTGCTATTAGAATTCTGTCAAACAAATGGATTACATAATCTGATACTTCAAAATCACTGTCGATATTTTTTTGTGGAATTTAAGCATATCCATCTGAGACAGTTAGGTGTTTAAGAAAACCTGTCATACGAGTCAAAATATACTGGAGCTATATGTGGCCTCTATGACATGTTCTATTTCCCACTACACAAAAAAAGAAATAAATAAACTTGATCTGGGTAATAATCACTTCACCGAGGATTTTTCAGTAGAGTTTTGGGCACTCTATTCATATTTTGCCAGTTTATTTACAAATAAAGTTATAAGATGAAGATTTTAAATTATATGTGAAGAGGGAGTGTCTAATTAATAAATTTATGGGTAACACTTCTTTTCCCTTTGAACCCCTTTACAACATACACTATCAAAGCACAGCTTACTTTTAAATCACCATAAATAAGAGGCAGAAAGACAAAACTCAATAGACCTGTAGATTTCTTTATTTACTTTCTCCTCCTAAAATGTTAGGAGAATGAACACTAGCAGAAATCTCCTACTCCATACTGCAAAGCCCATATACAAAAATATGAATGTATAGAGTGCACATTTATAATATATTTTTATGTATTTTAAAACTATCTGAAATGTGTGTAATATATTAACTTTTATGGTTCTTTTTCATGAAATAAAAACACTATTAGTCAATTATCATAACCAGTATTATTTAGAAGAGGACGAGAGCCTTAATGGAAGAATCTGGAATTTTTTCATTCTAGCAAAGAAAAAAATGCAAATTCAAATTATTTCAAGAAGGAGGACAGTAATATATATGGTGAAACATGAAGCAGCAGTGGGGGGCTGAAGGGGCGCTGCAAAGTGGAAAGGGTGTGGTCCGTGTGAAGGAATTCCTGGGAACACAGGAAAAATTAAACACTGTGTGCAAGTCTACTCCAAAGCACACCTGCTAACCTAATCCACAGATCAGCCTCTAGATTCAGGTACCACTGTTAAGAGATCTCACTGCTGAAGTCTAGGAGGTTAAAGATGAGGTAGTAACATTATGAACGGGAAATTAAACTGAGCTCATCTCAAATTTTTTCTTGTTTTTTACTTAAGTATTTTATTTTAAAAATCTGTAGTTTAAGCTTATCTAGTACAAAAGATTTAAGTAGCCAGAGCACAAATGTATATTAAAAATTGAAGTTTACATTGTTTGATTCTGTCAATGTTATGAAGCATTCATTAAACACAAGCAATAGATGCCATATTTTGCCTGTGAACTTGTCACCTTCCTATAGGAAACTGGTCCCTCTCTGTTCCATTCCAAATCTGAAGGAATTATCAGTAGAAATGTTTCATGGTCCTTTACACACTGTCCAGTGTTTCTTCCAAGAAAACACACATACCAGAAGGGTTAGGAAGAGAACTCTTTCCGGGATAGATACAGACATCAAGATAAAAATGTTCTATTCTGCATCCAAAATCTAGAAAAGTCTGGATGTTATGTGCATTTTAAAGGTAGGAGTCATCTCTCCTATTACTATAGGCAGAGTCCCACAAAGTACAGAGCAAACCCCAAGAAACCAGAGGCACAAAATGAACACAAATTCCCAAACATATGTAAATACCTAGATGTAACTGTATCTGTCTAATGAACCCCAAGAATTCATAAGACAGGAGAGTTAAATTCTCTCTCGTGTTCAAGCAAGTTTAGACTTCTATTACATACAGACAACATTCTCTTGAATACAAAAGAAAAGATATGAGTTTAATTTACACTTAACAATTGGAACTCCACAATACAGCCTAGGATTTTCCATTCAAAGAACAAAACCAATTTTAACCCCAGGAATTTTTCTAACTCAATTCACCTGCATATTGTCAATTACTCTAGTATTCAAGCTTTGCTGATAACCATCAGTGCCTTTGAAAAAGGAAAGCAGAGAAAAGGGATGAAGAAGAGAAAAAGGAAGCACAACTACTATCATCATGATATTGTTCATTAACTCTCCTGTTTGAGCATATGTGTACTTTGACACAAGCAATTTTTAATGAGAAATTTAGTAGTAATAACTAAAGCATCAACTGGATAAGCATATACATAAAATTTATTTTAGGAACCCTATTACCCAACTCACTATTGAAACACACTTTGTAAAATACCTAAAACATTAAGGCAACTTTTATATGATAATATGGTATACTACTTAAAAAACATCCAGCCATATTACATCAATATATGGTATGATACTTAAAAAACATCCAACCATAATACATCAATATACATGAATACAGATGATATGGCCCAAAACAAAGTAGTTACAAACATCATCCACCTACTAGTTTCAGAGGCATGATTAATGAAAAGACTTTTTTTCAGAAAAACCGCTACCATCAGCTCCATTTCCAGCAGTTAAATCAATATTTCCTTTCAAAAGTGAACCAAACAAGATAAAGCAAGGCATACTCACAAATTATAAAGCATGTCAGCCATGTTGCTACGGTAGTACAAAGCATTTCTGTAGGCGCTTTCAGCTTCAGAAATTTTGCTCTGACTCTTCAGAACATTTCCAAGGTTACCCCATGCTGGCAAAAAGAAAAAAAAGTATGCAGGCTGAGTGTAAATTAAATTATACATGACATAATATCAGGCCATCAGGAAGTACCACTGGGAAAGAAAACTTTCATAAAACACTTTTAGGAAGGGAAATTTATTTCCTTTATACCCCAACATCATCAAGCCAGGAGATTAAATATAGTCAAAGCCTAAAAATAATTAAAGCAATTACTATGTCTCAAAGCTGATATACTTATACAGTTTATCATAAGGCCAAGAACAATGTTATCTTAAGATCACCTACAAAGACTTCAAACTCTTTCAAGTTTCCATAGGGGTCTTCATGGTCTGAAATTATTGTATACCTACTGGACTAGAAACCACAAGAAACCATTTTAAAATAAACAAGATTTCATTCAAGTATGAAAAAGTGGATAAATGCCACAGAAGATCTAGAGATGAAATACAAAAAATTAAACAAGATCAAAGTTATAAAAAGGCCTAATAAGCATCAGAATGTATCATTAAAACATTATGCTTCTTAAAACAGTTAAGCATATATGGTCTGCTCAGATATGATGTTCTTTTATACCCTTGCTACTTAACAGCTCATTTGAAGGAAAACCTGTCACCTCACATTATCATATTGAAAACTAGGTATTTCACACATGCCCTGTATTTTTCTCCAAATAATCATGATTTCTCAATACTAAAAAGAAAAGACATCAACATCTACCCAGAAGAAGTAATTTTCAAATAGACCGAAGCCCTCAAATCTGCACTTATCTTCTTTCTTCCCCACAAAAAGATGGGGTGTTGAATTCTGATACTGGAGTCTTCACCAGGCAAGAAGATGGATATGACTTTTATGTACCAGTGTTTATTTCAGTCGTTACTGACTGTACCTGAAGAGTCAAAGTGGTTTTTGAGGTAGCAGAGTTTTGCTTTTTTTTGTTTGTTGTTGTTGTTTCTGTACTGGGGATCAAACTCAGGACCTTGTGCTTATGAGGCAGGCACGGTGCCACTGAGCTTAAATCCCCAACCCTTAAGGTAGCAGTTTTTAATGCGTTAAAAAAAGTATAGCATCTTTCAGGCTCAGATTTGACTATGTTCCTGTAATTTAAATCTCCCATGCCTTAGTTTATTTATCTGTAAAATGGGGAAATAATTCATGTTTCATTGGCTTTGTGATAAAGATTAGATGAGTTAATACATGTAAGATATTTAAGTCAGTACCTGAAATATGGTAAACACTCAATAGATATTTGCTATTATCATTAATATTATTGCAATTGATACTCCTCATACTTTACAGTCTTACAAAGACTAATGATTCCAGGTAAGGGAAATGGCAAAAAAAATCAACTGGGTAGTTTACAGGAACAACAAGTTAGGTGGGTGGCTGAAAAGTGAAAAGGAAACACAAGATGAAGTCAGAGACAGATAGGGATATGAAGGCCTGATCAGAAGGCATGGTGAGCCACAGTATAAAGTCGAAGAGTTACTTTATTCACAACGTGATGGAAAGATTTTCAGAGAGAGAGTTTTGTGTCATGGCTTATATTTTCAAGAAATCACTTTGACTCCTCTGTGGTCGGAGTACTCAGTGAACGGGAACAAAAAGAGCAAAAGGAAGACTAATCAAAAAGTGTCTGCAGTCATTACTGGGCAAAATTGCGATATTTTCCCACAAAATGGGCAGCAGAGGAGAGGACTGAACATGAGAAAACAACGAAGAAAATAAAAACCATCAGTGGCAAAGCTGCATGCAATATGAAACTATTTCCTGCTTTTGTCCCAAATGGAAACCTTTCACATCTTTATGATTAAATCATTGCCCAGGGTACCTGGGGAAAGAAAATTCCTGAATTAAGCACATATTTTAAAACAATCTTAATTACTTTTGGATGAGAAAAGAAGAAAGGAAAAAAAAAAGAGCAACCCTTGGTACCCAAAACTAAATTGGACACTCACTACCTAGCACACAGCCCTGACTTAGCTTGGGACAAAGTTACTCTGGGACGATCAGAAAATGTAAGCAAACAGGACCACTTCATGATTTTGTTTAAATCCAAAGGAAGTATGACTATATAAGCCACAAAATCCCAAACTCCCCGTTCTTGCTAAATAAATGACTTCTTTATGCAATCAAAGTTATCCCAGCATCCAATCTAGAATAAACTGCTCCTTTACATCCTTCCCTAACTCACCCAAGCAAAGTCAAGGAGCTACAGTGAGACACATAATCCCATATCCTAGGCTTCTCCATAGTGTACTGCTTTTGTTCCCTCCCTCCTCTCCCTTTCACTTCTCTGAATGAAGAGAAACTTCACCTAACTTATTACTTCAAGTGTTTTCCTGGTAGTCTTTGGTTGAAGAGCATTGACATAGAAGACTTTATCACATTCAAGCACCAAAAAATAAATTTTCCTCTCAAAATTCCCTTCTATATATTGTTGTTTCATGATGCTATTCTTATCAAAACAGATTTTAAAGTTTGAAGAGCTCCAAAAATTAAAAATAAAATTATCACATGATTTTTGGTGTGAAAATTGCTGTCCGTATTTCCATGCTATATATATATATGTTTGTTTTTTTTTTCAGCAATGCTAAAAGCAAATGGTAACATAAAATGATTCTTATTCATAAAAGTACAAGGCTATCTCAGAGAATATGACATGAAATTTTTATATTTTGGGGGCCAGGGACTGTAGTTCAGTAGTGCTGCACCTGCCTGGCAAACTTAACGTTCTGAGTTCAATTCCAGGTACCAGAAAAAAAAAATCTTATTAGTCAAGCAATAATTAAGATAGTCCATTTTCATGTTTCAATGATAAAGAGAAAAGTGGGAAAACTACACTTAGATTTAAAGTTCAATATTATTTCACTTTTATATAAATAAGCTATAGTTAACCAGAGTAGCAGATGCTATCATTTAATTATCCTCCTAGTACCTGAAAATTTTGATCATATTAGTCACATCATCGTCTTTATATTGTAAAAACGTACTGGGAATCTGGGGACGGAACTCAAATCCTTTGCACTTTGCTATATTCTCATTCATCCTCCCCCACACCCCAATAAGGTTTCCCTCCTGTACTAAGTTGCCCAGGCTGGGTTCAAATTTGTGACTTTCCTGCCTCAGCCTCCCAGAGTGCTGGGATTATAAACATGCGCCTCCATGCCCAGTTTATGTCCTGTCATATTTTACACCTAACTGGCCTCACTGTTGAAACATCCAAACCAAAAATTAGAATGGAGGACTATTTCAAGGCTCATGGATGGTACAATTCAATTACAAAAATGTCAATTCTGTACTGGTTAATCAACAAATTCTATGAAAATCTAATTAATATTTTAGCATCATTAAGGAATTCAAATCATAACCTAACCATAATAAATGGGTGGGGTAGCTGCATTTTTAAATACTGCGTTCATCAAATACAAAGGTAAACATACAGTTTTAAAAGTTAAAAGTTAAATTTGAAAACATAAAGCTAACATAAGAGTACGTAGGAGAATATTTCTATACAGTGGAAAAGGACTTTTTTGTCCTTGATCTTGATGTTTCTTTTTTTTTTAATTGAGTTTATTGGTACATTTTAGGTACACAGTACAGTTACATTCATTACTGGGATCTTGTACCTTTATATGACAGGTCTTGGTTCTCATTTTTTCCCCTTGTCCCTGCCCCTCCCTTTACTCCCTCCTCCCCTCCCCAGGATTCCTTCCTAAAAAAAAAAAAAACATAGCCAGGTGTGGTGGCACGCACCTGAAATCCCAGCAATCAGGAGGCTAAAGCAGGAGGATCACTGTGAGTTAGAGACCAGCCTGGGCTACACAGTGAGTTCCAGGGCAGTCTCAACTACATAGTGAGACCCTGTCTCAAAAATAAATAAATAAAATTTTAAAAAACCATATATAATTCAAAAGATAAAATCTAACGGATTTCAGGATTTTAAATTACTTTAATTTGAAAAATAAATTTTAAAATTAAATAAAAATAAATATTTATTGACGGATACTGTGGATAATATTAAGAAGGGGTGATATATCAGAAACATCAAACATTTAAAAAGGTAAGTCACTATAATTAGAAAATAAAATAAAGCCTACAGAGCAGTAAGAAACAGATAAGAAATCCTGAATGGAAAAAAATGAGCAAAGGTCATAAACAGGTAACTACAAAAAGGGAAACAAACAAACAAAAAAAACACCAAGTATTAAAACTAATATGGTAGAACACAAACATAAATTTCTTAGTAACTTAGAAAAATACTAACTACAAAAATGAGATATCTTTCACATCCAAATGGAGGAAAAAATGAAAACAGACGAAGTCAAGAACTGTAGACATGTTGGTGAAGGGCACTATGCACTGTGGGTAATAGCATCTGGTGCAGACATTTCGTTATGCCACGTGACAGTTCTCAGTCCAACCAATAGAGGTAAACCCTGACTAGAAATCTTGAAGAAAACAGGTAGTAAGGTATTTAAAGAAAATATCTTAGAGCTCATCCACGTTAAGAAATAACTGATGTGTGAGATCACTGTGTGAGTATGATATGGGATATACCTTCTAAATTACTATGTAGCAGTTAGGATCAACAGTTACCATACAAACACTATAATATGAATACATAGTAAAAACCTACAAAGAATAAAAAGCCTAAGTGTATTGTGCCAGAACAACATTTGTAAATAGTAAAAATGGACTCCTACTCAAAATATCACTGTGTATTTCACCAGGGCATATTATAAAGATAAGGATACAAATCAAATACATCACAGCAGTTGCCTATGATGCAAAGGGAACATTAAGTTAGACACAGACATGAAAGAGAATTATGACATGAATAAAAGAGGAATATAACAAACATAACTCCTTAACTAGGGGAAGGGAAACCATGGGGAAGGTGGGAAAGAGGAAGAAAGGAGAATTAAAGTCATAGTCCAAGTACTTTTAAAATAGAGATGGGATTATACTATATCCTGCTTAAAGAATAGAGTTTTAACATCAAATTTTTTC